CCTCCGTCCTGAATTTATTCGTTATTTTCTAATGACGATACATTAATCTCTTGAAGTACTTATATTAGGAAAGAAAAAAAAAAAAAAGAAGAATATGAAAGAAAAAAAAAAGAAAAAAGAAAAAAAAATAAAATTATGCTATAGACAAATTTGAGAATTTATCGGCGCAATATTAATTAACTCCTCATTAGAAAGTTCATTATATTATGTTTATCTACGTATAAATCGTATTTATTATAGTATATGTGCGTATATACGTATGTGTGTCATATATATATGTATATATAATAGTTATAGTGTAATATAAATTATAGTATAAGTTCCATATTATATGATAGATTTATTTGAGAACGAGAGAAAGAACAAAAAAAGAAAAAAAAGAAAAGAAAAAAAAAGAAAAAGAAGAAGGAAAGAAACAGGTTATGCAGAAAATTAATTAAAAAGTAACGTGAGTGCTAACATAGAAGTGATCATTAATGACACGTGTTCGATTCAAGCGATTAATCACTTTTCTATTACGTCGGAGTCAGAAAGTAGCTTTTAAAAAAAAAAAAGAAAAAAGAAAAAAAAAAATATATATATATATACACGCGCACACATACACATGTATATGCATACGCGTGCGTGCATTAAGAAAAAGAAGAAAGAAAGGAAGAAAAAAAATATGTAAAAAAAAAAAAAAAAAGAAAAGAAAAAAAAATAAAGAAGTGGAAGAAGACAAAACACGTGGTGTACTTTTAACAAGTACGATCTATCGTCGTGTGGATCAAGTTGTCTGATTGAGTTTAATACGCTATACGTTATCTATTTTCTTCGATTAATCACCATCAATATCTTGCGCAGACTTTGTTTCATTTCTCTTCTATGCATACATACATAGGTATATATTTATATACATACATACATACATACATACATACATACATACGTAGATACTCCTATAATCGATTGATCTTGAATAATCGAGTTCGTGTGCGATTTCAATTACTCCTCTTATACTTTTTCATTTTCTTTCGCATTACGATTAATATTAATCTCTTACGTATCTTTCGTATCGTATAATATATATAGCTTGTATATTTTGCATCGTGCCAATATACATACAAACTGTTAGTTTCTTCTAACGAAGCACGTTTGTCAATGTAAATCTTCCGATCGATCGATCGATCGATCGATCGATCGTTCATTCGTTCGTTCGTTCCTTCGTTCCTTCGTTCCTTCGTTCGTTCGCTCGTTCGTTGTCGTCATCGTCGTCGTATTATCAAACGCAAACATCCTTTCATCTCCCTCCCTCTCTCTCTCTCTCTCTCTCTCTTTCTGATAGGGGAAAAGAAAGAAAAAAAGAAAAAAAAATGGGTGGTTGGAAGTAGTTGGGGATGATTGCAGGAGGCGATAGAAAGAGAAGGAGGAGGAGGAGGAGGAGGAGGAGGAGGAGGAGGAGGAGGAGGAGGAGGAGGAGGAGGAGGAGGAGGAGGAGGAGGAGGAGAATGAGAAGGAGGAGGAGGTGGGCGGAAGCCCAAATAACAAACACGAAAAGAGAACTCGTCTTTTAACGCTTCTTCAAACTCCGTCGTCTTTCGTTCAAGAAGACGAACAAATTATTTACACGACTGCGTCATTAAGATTGCTAAAGGTAATGTGGATTTAACAAAAGGAATGAAAGAGATGAAGGAGGAGGAGAAAAAGGATGATGATAATGATGATGATGATGATGATGATGATGATGATGATGACGATGACGAAGAAGTCGGCCGAATCGTGTTTAAGAGAAAACGCTTGCTCCTGAGAATCGTTTAAAAGCAGAAAATCTCGGAAGTTTCGAGTGAAAGATAAATTTCGTGGTTTACAAGGAAAGAGGGTGGGTAGGTGGGTGGGTAGGAGGAAGGCCTGTGTACTTATTTGTCGCTTATTTTCGTTAACAGCAGAGGACGACGATGACGATGACGAAGGCGCCGTTAAGTGCTGAATCTTGTTTTAAACGAAATTTCGCTTACACGCTCTAACGCTTTTCGAAACCCTTCGGTCGGATCGATTTACTTAGTAATCTGAGATTTTTTTTTCTAGATTAAACGGACCATTAATCGTACTTATCTCTTTGAGTCGTATTTCTTTTTTCTTTCAATTTTTTTTTCTTTTTCTTTTTCTTTTTTCAAATATCCGAACATGTGGAGAAACATTTATCAAAGATAGACAAATAGATACGGATATTATTATTATTATTATTATTATCATCATCATCATTATTATTATTATTATTATATCTTCGAGATATTATCTCGTTCGAGGAAAATATTCGGAAAAATATACCGTATATAATTCGAAACTATGATTTCATTGTATTAGATAGAGATAAGAATCTTTTCCTTATAGAAAATTTAAACATCGAATTTAATTGGATAAATTCTTTGATCTTAATAAGATATTTCCCGTCATTTTATGATATGATCTTAATTAAGATACGTTAAATTGTCCGTCTTAAATTATAGAATTCATAGAGTCA